GAGCGCCGGCGAGAAACAATGGGCAGTTTCACCCTAATGCCCCCTGTTACCTAGCAGTAAAATAGGTACCTGGGAGTTAGTCAGCTGTCACGGGCTGCTTCCCGGGGGGTGCAGACCTGGTCGAGGACCGGGCCGCGGGGACACTAAGCCCCGAAATCATCTCAAGATAACCTCAAGATAACCCAAAAGAATAGCAATGTGAAAGCAAGCATTTATCCAACCCCGTTACGAAACCTTTACATCTTTCCCCAATCACGGTGACTCCAAGCTTGTTAACGTCACAAGCTTAATAAGATTATACACTAATGCTTTTCCTACAGCTGATACAGCAGCTGTATTGTGGCCGTTGTTGTATGTATTAAGATTTATTTTTTCTCTTGGAGAGGGAGGGATGCTCATTGTAACTTCTAACTGCCCGCTACGGCTAAATGTCTTCTCCGGAGCCAATAGGAAGTCTCCTGGCAGGTATTAATCACTGCACGAGGCAGGACGATCATTCATTGATCATTAATCACCTCAAGACATCGTTGACCTCGTCTCTGGTCTGATCAAATTAACAAGTTGATCCTTTACCGCCTTAATTGACGCAGTTTGACTTAATTGGTCTAACCTAAGGTAAATATTACTATATACGGAACAGCTTCATGAATCTGGCCCCAGGTTCGTAAGTGCTTGCGTAACTGCTTCATGAATCTGGCCCCAGGTTCGTAAGTGCCTACGTAACTACTTCGTAAATCTAGCCCCAGGTTCGTAAGTGCTTGCGTAACAACTTCGTGACTGTGGCCCCAGGTGTCAGACAATACCCATAGGTGTGACCCCAGGGAGGAGGTCAATAACTGGCAGATCACTAACCCATAGAGGTCACGACCCAAGGGTCAACCAGGCAACCCTAAACATGAATTTTGGGATTTAATGAAAGATTAATTTAAACTGTCATTCACTGGTCAAAACTGGTCTTGGTGGGTGATAATTGTTTCCTGATGTGTAGGGCGACGAGTCCCTGAGTCTTTGAGTCCCTAAGTCCCTAAGTCCCTAAGTCCCACTCAGATTAGTCCCTAAGTCCCACTCAGATTAGTCCCTAAGCGCCACTCAGATTAGTCCCTAAGTCCCACTCAGATTAGTCCCTAAGTCCCACTCAGATTAGTCCCTAAGTCCCACTCAGATTAGTCCCTAAGTCCCACTCAGATTAGTCCCTGAAGTGTAAACAAGAGTTTCAGGGCAGGTGACATTGGTCAGTTTTATCCATGTGTTGACCCACTCACAGAACACATACCACAAGTCACATATGTGATATTTGGACAGAAACGACGATTTCGGTCCGTCCTGGACCCGTTGGCAAGTCGTGAAGGGCCTGGTCAGGGTCCAGGATGGTCAGAAATCAAACCAGCAGCAATGTTATCTGTTTATTGTGTTGAGGGTTAGGAAACACTGGGTTTTTTTCCAACAACATCCAGGGAAATGCACCTGGGGGCTGTCATAGCTGCTTCACATCCAGGAAGTGCACCTGGGGGCTGTCATAGCTGCTTCACATCCAGGAAGTGCACCTGGGGGCTGTCATAGCTGCTTCACATCCAGGAAGTGCACCTGGGGGCTGTCATAGCTGCTTCACATCCAGGAAGTGCACCTGGGGGCTGTCATAGCTGCTTCACATCCAGGAAGTGCACCTGGGGGCTGTCATAGCTGCTTCACATCCAGCAACTGGGGGTTGTGGGAAGGAAATGCACCTGCAACCGGGGGCTGTCATAGCTGCTTCACATCCAGGAAGTGCACCTGGGGGCTGTCATAGCTGCTTCACATCCAGGAAGTGCACCTGGGGGCTGTCATAGCTGCTTCACATCCAGGAAGTGCACCTGGGGGCTGTCATAGCTGCTTCACATCCAGGAAGTGCACCTGGGGGCTGTCATAGCTGCTTCACATCCAGGAAGTGCACCTGGGGGCTGTCATAGCTGCTTCACATCCAGGAAGTGCACCTGGGGGCTGTCATAGCTGCTTCACATCCAGGAAGTGCACCTGGGGGCTGTCATAGCTGCTTCACATCCAGGAAGTGCACCTGGGGGCTGTCATAGCTGCTTCACATCCAGGAAGTGCACCTGGGGGCTGTCATAGCTGCTTCACATCCAGGAAGTGCACCTGGGGGCTGTCATAGCTGCTTCACATCCAGGGAAATGCACCTGGGGGCTGTCATAGCTGCTTCACATCCAGGGAAATGCAACTGGGGGCCGTCATAGCTGCTTCGCATCCAGGGAAATACACCTGGGGGCTGTGGTAGTTGCTTCACATCCAGGAAAATGCACCTGGGGGCTGTGGTAGCTGCTTCACATCCAGGGAAATGCAACTGGGGGCTGTCATAGCTGCTTCACATCCAGGGAAATGCAACTGGGGGCTGTCATAGCTGCTTCACATCCACTGTCACTTAATCAACTGATTATTGTTAGTTGTGGCTGTGTTTATATAAATTATTGGTTGTAATCGGAGGTTGTAACTTGGGATTGTTCCACAGGACGTCTGCGAACTACAAGCCGTGGCTCAACACCAGTGACACGGAGGAACGGAATGAGCTGGCGAAGAAGGCGTACGAGGCCGTCTTGACCGTGATGGCCAGGGCCCCCAGTAGTGACCAGTACAAGAACTTCTCCAGTCAGGTGAGTCCTCGACAGGTGGGCCCACGGGCCCGGCAGGTGGGTCCACGGGCCCGGCAGGTGGGTCCACGGGCCCGGCAGGTGGGTCCACGAGCCTGGCAGGTGGGTCCACGGGCCCGGCAGGTGGGTCCACGGGCCCGGCAGGTGGGTCCACGGGCCCGGCAGGTGGGTCCACGAGCCCGGCAGGTGGGCCCACGGGCCGGGCAGGTGGGCCCACAGGCCCAGTGATCGTTCAGGCGATCACTGGTTGGGGCCCATTCCTATGTTAGTTTCCTTAGTGTAGACTGCAGAACGAGAGCCTACGGCCCTACTCCCACTCCATTCCTCCATAGCAATGTGCCTTAATGCCAATAGTGACTTCCCAGACAGGTACAAGAGGAGTGTTGTCAACGCTTACGTCGACCAGACTCTCACTCACAGCTCTGGTTGGAAGCAAGTCGATGAAGAACTCTGTAGGGTAAGGCAGGTCCTAGTCAACAATGACTTCTCTAACGGTTTTGTTGAAGACATCATAAAAAGAAAGGTGAAACGCCATGCAACCTCTCAAGAGACAACTAACACAACACCTGTACCCAATATTACACTGTTTTACAGGAACATCTTTTCGACGGCTCATAAAACGGAGGAAAGTGTCCTGAAAGATATTAATAATAGGGACGTTATCCCTACAGACAAAAATCAGAAGATACAATTAACAATTTACTACAAAAACAAGAAAACGGCCAACCAACTCATGAAAAACTCCCCAGACACGAAACAGAACGCCTTGAAGGAGACCAACGTCGTCTATGCCTTCACATGCCCACTTGGGGACAGTCAGCCCCAAAGATCTCAGTATATAGGCAAGACAACAACGTCTCTAGGCGATTAACAATACATAAACATCAGGGCTCCATCAAGAAACACATAATCTCTTCTCACAACCAGACCGTCACCAGAGAAATCTTAACAAGCAACACTGAAATAATCGATAGATACAGCGATAGCGGGCGGCTCGACATCAGCGCGACACTACACATCAAAAAGTCAACACCAGCAATCAACAGCCAGCTAACTCATAATTACATTCTACCCACTTCAAGACCCCGAGCCAACACAGAGACAGTAGAAGCAAGATGATAGGCATTTAATAGCCTATTACTCTCCATTATGTCATTCATCCACTTGTTCGTCTCAATCACACCCTCTACCACCTCATTCCAAGCGAATATAAGCCTTGGCAGAGCATGGGAAAAATGTCTCTGGAACTGTAAGGAGTACCTTGCGAAACGCATCCCTAGCCGTCAGACCATATATTGTGAAATGAACTTTGGAGAGTTAGTTTTTCAACTACCCTCGACAGTGAAGAAAAACATAAGAATTATTGAGAAGATTCGCGTTGGAATCATTAATCTTATCCTTTGGACTGCTACCAATTATATATATTATATATATTATATATATATATATATATATTATATATATATATATATATATATATATATATATAGTATATATATATATATATATAATATATATATATATAATATATATATATATATATATATATATATATATATATGTCGTACCTAGTAGCCAGAACGCACTTCTCAGCCTACTATGCAATGCCCGATTTGCCTAATAAGCCAAGTTTTCCTGAATTAATATATTTTCTCTCATTTTTTTCTTATGAAATGATAAAGCTACCCATTTCATTATGTATGAAGTCAATTTTTTTTATTGGAGTTAAAATTAACTTAGATATATGACCGAACCTAACCAACCTACCTAACCTAACCTAACCTATCTTTATAGGTTAGGTTAGGTTAGGTAGCCGAAAAAGTTAGGTTAGGTTAGGTTAGGTAGGTTAGGTAGTCGAAAAACAATTAATTCATGAAAACTTGGCTTACTAGGCTAATTTGGCCTTGCATAGTAGGCTGAGAAGTGAGTTCTGGCTACTAGGTACGACATATATATATATATATATATATATATATATATATATATATATATATATATATATATATATATATATATATATAAAAGAATTAGAATACATAAAATGTATTTCTGAAAAACATGTTTTCGCCCCAATCAAAGGGGATTTTTGCAGCTGTAGATGAATACAAAGCTTTATCTAGATCCAGCGACTCGCTGCCATGAGCTCCGAGTTCAATACCCCGATACACAACATCAGCTTCATCAAGCATCAGAGAGATTACCCCTAACTATATGACCCTTTAGCGTCGTTCCACTGCTAATTGCTTCTCTGTAGTTAATACAGTGACATAGACCAATCACAGGGTTACAAAGAAGATTGAAATTGCTTGCAAAACTTACATAATGACTCACGAAGATATAATATAGATATAATATAGATATATAATGTCTTAGAGGCTTTTTTAATGTCTCAGAGTAATCCGTCTTGTTTAGATAGTACTTTGTGTAAGCTAGTGCTATATAGTGCATATATTGACTTACTAAGCGCTTAGATAGTACAAATTTGGTACTATTCCATTTTATACAACGTGGGAGCCAGCGAGGTAAGGCGTAAGTCCCACAGTTGATGAGTTTGATTCCAGAGTTCCCTTTCCCATAAGGTAAAGTTAACTGCTCCTTAAGGAAAGTTATGAGGCAAAGAGGAAGCCATTCCCAGGTAGTTAGCAGTGTGAACTGCCTCGTTCTGCTGCCTCACAGGCGCTCCTACCCCTCCCAACCACGACATGCATCGTGACTTGTGAGAGTTTGGTCCACCAGGCTGTTGCTTGGAGCGGCCCGCAGGCCCACATATACCTGCTTGATGGGGTTCTGGGAGTTCTTCTACTGCCCAAGCTCGGCCCGAGGCCAGGCTTGACTTGTGAGAGTTTGGTCCACTAGGCTGTTGCTTGGAGCGGCCCGCAGGCCCACATATACCTGCTTGATGGGGTTCTGGGAGTTCTTCTACTGCCCAAGCCCGGCCCGAGGCCAGGCTTGACTTGTGAGAGTTTGGTCCACCAGGCTGTTGCTTGGAGCGGCCCGCAGGCCCACATACACCTGCTTGATGGGGTTCTGGGAGTTCTTCTATGCCCAAGCTCGGCCCGAGGCCAGGCTTGACTTGTGAGAGTTTGGTCCACTAGGCTGTTGCTTGGAGCGGCCCGCAGGCCCACATATACCTGCTTGATGGGGTTCTGGGAGTTCTTCTACTGCCCAAGCCCGGCCCCCGAGGCCAGGCTTGACTTGTGAGAGTTTGGTCCACCAGGCTGTTGCTTGGAGCGGCCCGCAGGCCCACAGACCCACCACAGCCCGGCTGATCCACCATTGAGTGACGTACTGGAGCACCAATGAACACAAGCGAGGCAAACCGGTTACGACAATCAACTGAGTGCAACCAATCACGGCCACAAACACTAGCGGTGGTGTCATCCACTTTCACACCGTCAACGAGACAAGATGCAGTGGTTCCGCCAGCCTCCGAAGGGAAGCAATGGCCAGCTGCCATTAACAGTTAGGGAAGACACGCCCATTAACCTAATCTCATCTGAGAACCTCACCCAAGCGATTACAGCGACATCTGCTAGAACATTACCACACACGCAGGCGAGGAGTCACAATAACGGGGCTGAAGTATGTTGACCACACCACACACTAGAAGGTGAAGGGACGACCACGTTTCGGTCCGTCCTGGACCATTCTCAAGTCGATTGTGAGAATGGTCCAGGACGGACCAAAACGTGGTCGTCCCTTCACCTTCTAGTGTGTGGTGTGGTCAACATTACCACTCATCCCGACAGCAGCCCGCCCTAATGCAGCAGCCAAACTCTGTAATCTTCTGAAAAGGGTCAATGATGCCCCGGAAAACATTCAAGCGTGGCATAATGTCCTTCTGTTTAGCAATGTATGCCTCACCGGCCCTCCGAGGAGGGACAAATCACTTGCTTCCTCGGTCCTGAGGGCGATAAGTTAATACCCAAGGGGGGACAACCTAGCCCGCCTGCCTCTCCCAGCAAAACACATCCACCGCAGAAATGGTAACAACAACGTACCGGAAACGTACAAAATTAGAGCACAAATCACCAAGAAAATTGAAGAGGGAAATACCGCAAGTGCTATTAGAGTCCTCGCCAGTGACGAGAAAATTGCTCCTGGAAACTCAGCCACCGCACGGGCCCTGCAAAGCAAGCACCCACCCAGAATAGGTGACATCGATGCCCACGATGCTTTTTATCTCCCCACCAAATGCCTATCCCTTCCGAGGCTAACCTACTTTCTGAGGTGCGCCCCATCTTACGACAACCGAAAGCTTGAAGAGTATGACCTCTTACTGAAGACCATGCTGGAAAAAGTTGTTAACCTCTCCCTCAACGAATGCCAGTGGAAACAAGCCACTCTTCCTGTCAGGCTCGGTGGCTTGGGTGTCCGCACCGCCACCCAAATTGCTGTCCCAGCCTTCCTGTCTTCCTCCTCAGCATCAGATGACCTGGTTAAGGAAATTCTACCAGACACCCTGAGTGATGTAGCGGGGATACAGGAGCCCCACTACACGGAATGCGACACGAAATGGGGTGCCATGGCAGACCCAGCACTCAGACCAGCCATGCCGAAAGCCAAGAAACAATCCAGTTGGGATAGCCCCATTGTAGACAAAGAAGCCACAGCTTTGCTGGAGGCAGCAACAACCCCCAGTGATCGTGCACGCCTCACAGCTGTGCAGGCTCCCCATGCAGGGGACTTCCTTCTGGCAGTCCCTATGTCTGCGACAGGCACACGACTTGATCCGCAGGAGCTCCGTATTGCAGTCGCTCTCCGCCTTGCTGCCCCTATCCACACTGTTCACAGGTGTATTTGTGGCGAGGCAGATGATGACGAATATGGATTGCATGGCCTGCACTGTGGAAAATCTGGT